ATGTTAATTTGGAGATGTCCAGGAAGATTATCAGTTTGGTAATAGATGCTACCAGCTATTCAGAAGTAGAATAACCAGCCTGACTGGAACAGTGGGATTCCAAAATCCTGTTCTGTAAAAAGCAGCTGCATAACTGTGTCTCCCTTGACTCTAAAAGCTACCTGGAGATGACAAGGAATAAATCCAGTATTATTACTTGGGATCTGGTGGTCCATCACCAAGCGGCTTCATGGAGAGTTTGCACAGGGACCTGAACACAAGGAAGGCATCCTTTTGAAGGACATGGGAAAATCTGGCAGCAACTTGATGTCCGGGTACATCTGTTTCCTAGCAAACAAGAACCACATTAAGACCTCAGTAAGGCAAAGGAAGAGGGCAACTGGGAAGATTCCACAACTCCTCAGAGAATCAGCCACAGATTAAAGAGCAATACACTTGCCCAGATATAAACCAAACTTAAACAGGACTACAAGAGATTCAGATCTTTTCATAGTACTGACTGATTCCCCTCCCACCCCAAAGTGGATAAATACCTTAAAGCAGCTATTTTCAACATGTACTTGATCTGAATTTGCTGCTTCCCAAACCTGAACAGGACTTATGTATTAAAAGCCTCTGTTTCCTCCCTCCAACATCCCAATAAAATTAGTTGGCATAATAAAAGATTTCTTGGTCCTTATACATAAAGATACAGTGAAGTTATTTACCAAATTATCAGTGGAGGAAACTGATTGTCTGTCATCTGGAATCCCATTTGTTTGTACATTTTCACTACTAGAGCCAGAAAGAGCAATATCTGAAGTCTCTAATGCAGGTAGAGCCTTGACTGTTTCTATTACATGCTTTTCTTCAGCCACTGAAGTAGAAAAAAGAAAAATAATTGAATTAATCTGTTGAGTTGCTTTAAAAAAGTGTAATATTTGTAAAGCTCTACCATTGGCTGGGGCAGACAGGAAGCACTAGTAAATCAGAGGGAATTTCTCAGCCAAAGGAAGTACTCCTGTGAGGCCGTAAATGTCTTCTTACTGCCTTAGAAAGCATTCTTGACAGGATGCTTAGTAATGAAAAATAAGTCCTTCACTTTTATAATCACAGGAGTATGTGTCAGGTATTACACACACATCTATTTTATTTCAGAAGATTTCACTACCTTCCACAGCTGATTTGACAACATCTTCCAAGATGTCTTTCACCATTTCTTTTCCTCCATCAGTTGTTTCCTCTGATGAAACAGAGAGATAGCTTTGTTTAGGAAAACAGAAGGGTTAAGGAGGCAGAAGGGATAAAACAAGACTTCAGTTACCCCAAAGCAATTTTAGCACTTGCAAATATACTTTGATTAATCTCTTTACTTCCCTTCCCTTTTACCAACCTAGCAAAATCCAGTCAATCTTCAATATAATTTATATACAAGTTTTTTTTTTTT